GATGGATTAACCTGTAAATACCCTAGGGATGTTGAAAGTCCGCCATGGTCAGAAAACCAAAAGGACTGTTGAATCCCAGGGTGTGGTTAAAGAGCAGGTGCTAAAGAAAATGGGTAAAGAAAAGAGATGAAAGGAGTAAGGTAAAGAGATGAACAGTGGAAAAAAAAAAAAAAAAAAAAAAAAAAAAAGTAAATTTTGGGAGAAATTACATGGATTCAGCAACAAAAACTACTAATACTAGATAACGGAACAGGAAGAGGGAGTACTGAGTGATTTTACAACAAATTTTACAACCGCAGCTTACATCATCTTGACAGAAGCTATCCTCTTTGTTTAAATCTACAAATTCTTACTCTTATTATTTTTACATCTTTATATTAATTAAACGTATTTAATTAAGATTATATTATTGTTGATGTTATTGCTACGTATTTCTCTAGGTATCCAGGTTGTGTAGTGTTACAGAATCAAAACTCATCCCTGAATCATTGTCGTCATTTGGATCATAATGTTGATTAAACTGGTCTGATAAATTATTTTCGTCACTGCTACTCTCGTGGTCAGAATTTGCTGGATCTGGCTTTGGATTTTCTCGTATGATTTTTTCTTGTACTTCTTTAGTCTTTTCTGTGAGAAATTTGTAAAGGGAACTTTTTATTATTTTTTCTATCTTTTATTTTTTTTTCTTTTTTGGAGGAATCCTTTGTCCTTTTACTTGTCTCTGCCATTGTATTGAAGCTTGCCGGCAGAATTCTTACACTTTTTGGTAAAGTGTCAACCATCAACGGATTTGATGAGTCTTTACCCGCTACCGTTTGAACGGGACTAGCTGTACCTTTAGCTGGTACAATAGCTTTTTCTACATTCGTTGGGGAATGTACACCCGTCTCATCCATTTTGTGGGGAGATGGAGAACTCTTATTTTGATCGGTATTTCCAAGTAAAAATCTTATCCTCTCTTGTAATGAGTGGATATGTTGTGTCATTTTCCCTTTTTCTGTTTCTAGTCTTTCGATTGTCTGGTTTAGCCTTTTGAATCCTTCCGTCATTGAGGAACAATGATCGCAGAAAATGATTCTGTTTGTGTCTTTCTGAATATTGTATTGCAAAGACGGTCTTGAAATTTGTCTCAAAGCTGGACTGATGAAATAATTAGGCCCGAGAGTTCCTCTAGCATAGTCTAGTGCTTCATTCAAATCATTGAATCCCTTAAAGAGTGGGGTAGGGAAGTCTTTAATTGAATCTACTACTTCTATCCATGTCTGGAACACGCCCTGTAATTTTCCTTGAATTACTACATAAAATCTGAATTTTTTGTCTTCATTTTTGTCTGTAAAATAATGGCTTAATGAATTTACTACGGACACGAAATAACTGTTGTCTCGAGGAATCTTGTTGTATGCTATCCATAGGTTGTCTATTAAGCATCTTTGAGGTCTATCTATCTTCGTTTCTGGCTTCACCCTGAAACTTAGATTGGATGGAGGATAGAAGATTAAATTTTGTTTTCCAAAAATATTCTTTCCATGCTCGTTGTATTTTGTCTTGTTTGTGGTTGAAATGAAGTATTTCCTAAGAGAGTCTGCAACAAGTCTTTGTCTTTTTGCCCACTTGAATTTGAACTAGATGCTCCGTCTTTATCTGTACTCATGCTGAAAACAAACAGTTAGTTTTCATAAGTCTGCTTAGTTGATCTGCTAAAGAATTATCTTTCCCCTTTATATGCTCTAAAGATATATTGTATATTGATGTAGCGTCTAAAAAATTTAACCATCTTCTTTTACTACTATTTTTTCCCTCTATTTTTTGGTGAAATTTTACAATAGCCTCGCAATCCGTTCTTACCAGAATTTCTTGTTTATTAATAATGTATAACTTAAAACTATTTAATCCGTATATAACTGCCAAAATTTCTGCATCTATGCTACTCATATTTCCCTTTTCTTTGTATTTTCCGCTGTGATAAGCGCAAATTTTTTCGTCTTTTTTATCTCCATATTTATTGTTTTTTGTTTTCAAAACTGCTCCCACCCTTCGAGACTTCCGTCTGTTTCTACTATTGGGTAATCTGTTTCTAGTGGGAGGGCTAAATCTGGTATATCTTTAACCATTTGTTTGAGTTTTTGTACTAGTTTTATGTCTTCTACATTAAATGTCTTTTGTCCATGACTTCCTGTTTTAGAGTATAGGGGTCCTGCTACTTTCCCTAGATCTTTGATGAAACTCCGTGCATAATTTAGTATTCCTAAAAAATTTTGCAAGTCTTTAGTATTGTCTAATTTATCAGGCATATCTAGAACCTTTTTTGCTATATGGGGTTGTAGTTTTATCTTTCCATTTCCAATTTCTACCCCTAGGAATTTTATAAGAGTCTTACATAATTCCATTTTCTTTTTGCTAATTATAATTCCATTGTCTACGAATAGTTTAAATACCGTTTGCAAATGTCCTAGATGTTCATTTGTATTATTACTAAAAACTAAAATATCGTCTACATAAACTAAAATAAAGTTTTTATAGTCTCTAAATATATTATCCATCTTTCTTTGAAAAATTGGAGGGGCTGTTTTTAAACCGAAGGGCATTACCAACCATTCGAAATGTCCTTCTGGACAGGTAAAGGCTGTCCATTCTATGCTATCTTCATGCATTTTGACTTGCCAATATCCGGACTTACAGTCAAACTTACTAAAAATTTTTCTTCCTTGTATTCGATTTATTAGTTCTGATTTGTCTGGCAATTTATATCCATCCATTCTAGTATTGTCATTAAGTCTTTTATAGTTTATTACCATCCTAGCTTTTCCTCTTAGTATTTCATTGTGATTTCTTACCATAAAAGCGGCTGACCTATGTTTTGAAGTTGACCTTCTTATTACCCCTAGATTTAATAATTCTTTTATTTGATCTTCAAATTCCCTCAGGTCTTCATTCGTGGATTCTATTGAAGCAGTTTTAACCGTATATTCTGGGTTAATAATATCAAGTCTGCAGGTTATATGATTGGCTTCCCAGTGCTTCAGGGGTCTTTCTCCAATTATTTCTAGTTTATCTAAGATAGAAATTACTTCGTCTAGGTCTTTCTGGTTTTTTATAACTCCTATATGTTGTAATCCTTTCTTAAAATTATAAAGTTCAGTATTTATTTCTATTAAATTATAGTTTTTCTCTATTTGTATATCAGATAAACTTAATTCTAATAATTCAATTTCTTTAATGTCCTCCTCTTCTGTACTAACATGTAATTTAGTACAATTACATTCTTTTCCTTTATTACATTTTGATGTATTTGTATTATCAGTATTCTTAACATACCTTGATTTTGTAGGAACTGGTTCTGTTGTTATGGAGGTTTGAGTCATATTTTTAGAAAATATTACTCCATCTCTAGTGAGGAGACAACTTCCGTTACTATGTAGTAAGAAATCTAAGCCTAAAACAAAGTCTATCCTAATATTTAAATCTCTAACCCATATTTTTTCTAGTTTATAGGTAGGTTTATAGAAATCTGCACATGTGTTTAAAAAACTTATTTGAGCATTACTAACATAATGTTTGTATATATTTGAAGATCCGTCCATTTGCATGGCGCTTTGTGGTTCGGAAAATTCCTTTATTATTTCTATAGGCAGGATATTTCTATTTATTATACTCTTTGTACACCCTGAGTCTACTAGAGCTAAAGTTTCTATTTCATAGTTTTGAATTCTTATTCTCGTTAATATTTTGATAGTATTGATCTTTTTGTCTTCATTACAAATTAATCCTTCAAACGATTTGTATTCCTCTTTTTCATTTAAGAGCTCAATTCCTTCCTTTTCTTCTACCTCTTCTTCTACTTTTTCTTTTCCCTTTTCTAATCTATTCATTCTGTCTTCTAAACTATCAATCCTTTTTTCTAGGGACATTAATGTTTTTTATTTTACGCTTATGGTCTGGTCTATAACTTTAATGTTAAATATTTTATTGATGCACATGAGGCATCCTTCTATATAGCAATTCGTACATTTAGCTCTTCTGTCTTTGCTGGGATATCCTGTACAATTAAAACATTTTTGGCTATCTAGACCTTTCCCTTTTAAAAATTGACAAATGTAAAATCCTTGATGTCCAATTTTTCTAATCCTATCTCATTTATTAAAGTTTCTTCTTCTGAATCAGATGAGTCGTGTTGTCTTCCTTCTAAAGCATCTATACTTATTACTGAATATATACTTTCATTATCTGACATGTATTCATCTACATTTATCAGGGTTTCTTGGAAATCTTCTATGAGTTGGGAATTTCTCGTTCTACTATTATTTCTTCCTGGACAAGTGTTAGCAAGATGTTCTTCACTTCCGCATGTAAAACAAGATAGTCTATTTTTATAGATTCTATTATTATTATGTTTTCTTACATGTCTATCTTTATTTAGGTAAGGCTTTTTTGCCGTAGATTTTCGTAGATAATATTTTTTCCTTGGTCTGTAGTCTTGGTTATTTTGATATTTTCTTCTATATTTCTTATTTGGTGTACCTTGATCATAGCTTTGTGTTGTATATATATTCTTACAAAAACCAGTCTCATTTTGCTTTAATTGTTTTTGTATTTGTATATTTGTACACTTTTCTTGTAATATTTCCATAACATGCTGTATTTTATGTCCGATAGACCAATTAACATTTGGATTTTGCATAACTCCTTCTCTTTTACTCCATCTTTCTTCTATTTCTCTTCCTAATGCTCCAGGGAGTTTATTAAAAAGCTTTTTTTCCTAAGCTTTGATCAAACGCATTGCCGCTTATAGCGCATAAATAAAAATAATCCTTTAGAAAGTTTTTGATATGGCTCCAATTTGTAATGCTAAGTTGTTCTAGTTTTATTAATGCATTCTTTTGCAACACTACCAATCCACTATTAGGGTCTTCTCCTGTTATTAGGCTGTGTATTTTATTAGTGAAATTATATGGATTTGGTCCCATATTTACTAGTTCTTGGAATTCTTGAGGGTAGGTTACCTTGTATGCTTCCCACATTCCTTTGATTGATTCTCCTAAAAAGGTTTTCATGTATCTATACATAGTTTCTGCATCTGTCTCACTATAATGATGTATGTAATCTGCTACTACTATTCCTTTCCATACATCTATTACTGAGTTCCATAATTGAGGATCATGAGCTGCTATGTTTAGTATCTTACCTCTATCTCCTCCATCTTGAAGCTTGATAGGGGCTTCTATTGGCATTCTTATTCCTATTGGTCTAACCATTTCTGGTTCTGTTGCCGGGTCTTGCCTATATACCCGATGACGTGGTAAGTTTCCTATAGTATATTCTACTGGTGTTATGGGGGTTGTCTTTTGAAAAGGACTTGAATTAGAAGAAGCAGTTTCCATGAATTCTTTTAGACTGCGTGTTGTCTCATCATCACTTTCTTCTTGGGTGTTTTCCTTTTGTCTATACCCATAATTATCTATTCTGAATTTACATTCTTTAAAATGTGTTTCTACTATAGAGATATCTATTTTTCCCATTTTACAACCTTTACACTTAAACAAAGTTGTTTTATTTTCTTTATGTAATTCTTTAGCTTGTGCTATTGATAAGTCTACTTCGTAGTCTTCTTCATTTATATTTTGGATATTCATACCTTCCATATTAACGGTTGATTCATTATCTTCTAAGTCTTCCTCTATTTCTTTTTGATCCGTATATTTATAATCAGTGAATCTAATTGATGTCTCTCTTTTAGTATTAGTGTATGTGAGGTGGTCGTTTGGTCGTAATACTTCTTTTTTGCAGAAATTTTCTAAATTCCATTCTCTACCAGCATATTCTTCTGAATTTATTTTTAAAGGGTTCATTAACTTGATTCCTTTATTTCCCATTATACCTACTGCATCGTCTATCTTTATTTTAAACTTTGAACTGCTGTTGTTGGCTAATTTTCCTATAAAGCCAACACAAACTAAAAGATTATTTCCACAATTCATTTCTTCATACCCTTTGGTCTGTATGCCTATTTTTATGTACTTACCAAATTCTTTTGAATTTATCATAAAATCTGGACTACAGTAAAATATTCCTCCATTGTTACTCATGTCTACTTCGGTTAAACCTATTATTGATCTTTTAGATTCTGACCATCTGCTATCATATAAAGTAATTAGTACTTTAGTACCTAAATTTTTTCTAGTTAATCCTTTAAGCCCTATCACCACCAATCCCATGTGCATGAGATTCATTCGTCTTTTCTGTATTTCTTGCATAGATTCTTTACTAATTAAATTTATACTTTCACTATCGTTTTCTGATACGCTTAACTGTTCTTCTCTATAATGTCTGTATAGATGTGCTGTTGATGAGAAAAAACCTGTATTATAGAGGACTTGTGGATTTAGCATTTTTAATTTATTTTGTTTGAAAATTTCTATGTCTCTATCTACATCTATTAATTCATCCAGCTGGTGACTACTACTAGGCTTAGATGAGTTATTCATAATTCGAGCTAACATATTATTTCCTAGTCGATCTTGAGAGAAACTGGCCCTTTGTCTTTCTTGGGAATTTCTATTCCTGTTTGAAAAAAGGTCCATGTTTTGTCTTTTCTTTTAGGTTTATCCTCTTGAGGAGTTAATTCTACTCTCTTGAGCTGTTCTATTAAGTCTTGTATATCGTTTTCTTGCTTACCTTTTTTAGTAGGGGTTTTATTTTCCAATAAAATATCTAATTTTTTATTTATTTCTTTTATTTGGTCTTCTAGGTTTTTATTTAATTCTAATAAAGCAAATATTATCAAATTGTTTTGTTTTACGCTTATAGAATCTGTTTTTCCTGGTGGAACGTAATCTGATAAACCTTCAGGGTTAGCTTGAAAATGTGCTGTTTTTCTAAGGACTTCTTGGTAAAAGGGGTTGTTCATGAAAGGGTTAAGTCTTTAAGTTTACTTAGTTCTTTCTTAATTTCTTTTGTCTCTTTATAAAGGTTTTCTATCTGGCTATTTAGTATTTCTAAAGGATTGTTATCAGTTATCTTATTTACTACTATGTTTTGTACCTTTGAAATTATATCTAGTTGCTGATTTTTTAGAAAGTCAAAATTTTGTTCTATCTTTTCTAATGATTTGTTTTGTCTTTGTTGCAAGGTTTCTATGGTTTCTATTATCTTTAGAAATCTATCGTCTTTGGACTGACTATGTTCTGCTAAATTTATTATTAGATCTGTAACCGTATTTAAATGTTGATTCTCGCTATGTAAAATATGGTCTCCTTCTGCGAAATTACACTTAAGTAGTGATCCAAATTTTAGTCTTCGATACTTCTTTTCTGAAACTATTTCTAAATCTAAGTATTCTAATCTCTTAATACTTCCTATTATGCTAAATATAGAGTTCTGTTTTTGCAATCTTGTGTTTCTATTCTAATTTCTTTTATGTAGTGATAAACTCTTGCTCCTATAGTAGGTATTTGTAAATCTATTTGTCTTATTTCTTGATGTATAAAAGATATTTGATTTGGTGTTAATAAATCTGAAAATAACCTTAGTTGTTCTGTATATAGTCGTCTTTGTTCTAATAGAAAATCGTATATATCTATATAGTTCTGTCTTATTTTTAATAGATACCAATGATATTCCTGGTCAATTATGATCTATTTTTCGTATGACCTAAATTTTTTCTTATATAGTCTAGATGACATATACTTAAATTAGAAAGAGTACTACGCTATTTAACCTAAGAGAAAATTTAAATTACTAATATGATTTCTTTGAACTTCTATACGTCTATTTGCGTTTTGGATGTTACTATCTATACTATGTAGTTCCCACTTTAAAGCACTTAATAACTCTGGGTTGACTAGGGTTGGTCGGTTCGAAGAATATAAACCCCCGTGGTTACAAAGTCTGTCTGTTAGGTCTTTAGTTTCTAATATTTCTAGATATAAACTTAAACCCTCTTTAATCTTAAGCCAGTCAGCTTTAGTCTGTAATTCTCTATATAGATACCAATAATATAATCTTAATTGGTTAGCAAAAGGGTGTCTTTTCATATATTATCCTAAATTGTGTTCCCAAAATCTTCTCGCTCTGATACCAATAATATAATCTTAATTAAATACGTTTAAATTAATAATAAGATGTAAAATAATAAGAGTAAGAATTTAGATTTAAACAAAGAGGATAGCTTCTGTCAAGATGATGTAAGCTGCGGTTGTAAAATTTGTTGTAAAATCCTACTCAGTACTCCCTCTTCCTGTTCATATATATATATATATATATATATATATATATATATATACTAGAAAGTAATTACCTGTGCCAGCACGGGCCCAATATTATTAAGTATTTTTTTTGTTAATTTTGTTTTTATGTGAAATTGAAGAAAAGAAATTTGATGGATGTTAGGTGGTGTTCGTTATGTAAAACATTAATTTTTCTATATTTGATCAGTTAAAATCTTTGCAATATATTTTCTCTAGGAAATAATTTTTTTTCCTTTTAAAATGAGGAAATGATTTCTATAATAGACGTATGAAAAAAAGAAGTTACACATGATATTCTACATTGATAATGTCTTCCTCCGTTTTCAACCACACCTCATATTTATCCCATAATATGGAGCTCCCCCCATCTTCATCCCCACCACCACACACATCCCTACCCTCTACCTTCGCCTCTTATAGTATTTGTCTAAATTATATAAAAATGTTTTTAGGATAATAATTTTTGCCAACCTATCAAAAACAAGAAAATAAATAAGAAACATATTTATTTTCCTAGAAATCATTTCTAAAATATTTTTTTTTTAATCTTAACAAACACATTGTAAGTAATTATTAATGATATACTCATAGTATTGCATACTAAAAATTGAATACGCCTCGATCCATGAATAAATGTTGATTGCCAAATAATAAATTATTATACTCATGGAAACATTATACCATTAGATACTTAAATCGACACTTTATACACATATAGAGTATTACTATTTATATATTAGTGAAAGATGATACATTTTTTCAATAGTCATCAAGGTTCTTATTTTTAGTTTTTTTTTACCAAAAACATATTACGGAATAATTATATTAATTATATTTTAAAATTTATTATTAATATATCATTGTTAAAATAACAATTAGGATAAAAATAAAGAAAATGTGCATACTGTACTAATTAATTTAATTTTAGACTCTCAATTATCTAGGAGTTTAACTTGACTATTAGTATTTTATAGAATTACTTAATGATAATGATAAAGTCAGGCAAAAATAATTAATTTTCTTAATTTATTAAAATAAAAAAGTAGAATATTATTTATTATTATAAGAGTCAAATTAATAAATTTTCGTTATTAGAATAAAAATAAAGAAAATGTGCATACTGTACTAAATAATTTAATTTTAGTCTCTCAATTATCTAGGAGTTTAACTTGACTATTAATATTTTATAGAATTACTTAACAATAATGATAAAGTCAGGAAAAAATAATTAATTTTCTTAATTTATTAAAATAAACAAGTAAAATATTATTTTATTATTATAAGAGTCAAATTAAAGATAACATTTACTATTTACTTTATTAATTATAATTAGTGGATATGAATTGATTTTCGAGAAAACTCTCAGCCAATAAGAGGATAACATTTTCCTTGATTCCTATAATTGATTCTTCTTATTATTTATCCTTTCTACCATCTCTTCTTATTATATGTTATGTCATCTCATTTTTACTTGTCATATTTGGACTTATATATTCATTAAAAAAATAATTTATAGGTTAAATAATTAATACTAAAAATATAATATAATTTTTTAAAAAAATTTATTCTTAATATATGAAAATTGACAATAAAAATAAAAAAATTATTTTTAAATAATGGACAAGTAAAAGACGGATGAAGTATGTACTCCCTCCGACCCTTTTGACTTGATACACCTCCTAAGAAAATAATGATTGGTATAATGAGTTTATCATTTTACTCTTATTAATTGGTAAAGTTTTAAACATATTTACTCACTACATTTTCAAAAAATATTAATTTAATGTTAATAAATTAAAGGTATAATAGGAGAAAAAGATTTTTTTTCTTGATTTGTTAAATATATTTGACAAATAAATAAAAATGGAGAAAGTATCTATGAAATTTATGCCAAATGGAAGAGGGAAAAAACGGAAGTGGACCAAAGCCCACGTCTTATAATACTTATGGCAAATAGAAAAGTGAGGTTCATCATATTCTTCAATGATAGGGCAGAATTTGTAATTAAA